GGTGGCAGATGTGCCTCCAGCTGTCTTCCAGGGGCCCTACAATGGCCAGAAACTGTAGCCTGAAGACAGCTCTGCTAACAGGAGTGCTTATGTATGACAGGGACTGTGAATAGAAAAGAGAAGAAAGGAAGTGGTGAAGATCCAGTATTAAATTTATTGTACTAATCCTATTCCTGCTGGTGATATATGCATAATCACTTAAGTTGATTGTTTTGCTGATGCCATTGTTATGAACTCCATGTAAGGGAACAGACATGCAGCTGGATTGCTTGTTTGCTTTATTTATTTTTTTCCCTTTCACCTTTTCTTAATGACAGCATGGGTTGGATTTCCAAACCTTCCCAGCACTGGCCTAACTGCTCTCTGACAACTGCAATCAAATTCTTATCTGTCTAACTGCCAACATATCTACCAGAGAGGTGCTGACTGACTGCAGCAGGAGCAGAATTGAAGTAGTTCAGGCTCCCCTAAAAATACAACTCTAAGAGATTACTGTAGGAAAATACCATGATTCTTGGTCTGAAAGAGCCAATAAATGTAACTTATTAGGGCCAGTCTCAACAGATGAGGAACCTGAGGAAGGGAACAGCTTTTTTGGTTATGTGGCAACTATAGGGGAGCAACCAGGACCTGATTTTCCTGAGCACAAACAGGCTGGTGTGTGGTGCTCAAGGCAATCAGGGGCAGGTTCCAGCCATAGGAAATGTCATTTCATTGAGTTATAATGACTGGCACAGCACTTTGAACCTGCTTGAAACCTAATCTTTAAGACATTCATCTTCAGGGATGAAAATTCGAAGGACCATCAGGTAGGAAGACACCTTCTCTGCTTAAGGAGGTCTGAGCCCATTACACCCAGAAGGCAAGACTCAATGGAAGAAAGACTGCCAGCTGCTTGCTGTCTTCCTCTGGTTGTTTCCCATGTGCTGCTATCAGACAGGACACTGGCTTATGTGCAGCTTTGGTCTTGGTAGTACAGATGCCAGTTTTTCCTTCTCCCTGTGCGGGTGCTTCACAGTGGTCATTGGGCAGCTAAGGCCAAGGTCTCAGGCACTTACTCGCCTTAGTTCACGTGGCTTTGTACCAAAAGACAAGACAATTGATTTACTTTTCATCTTCACCTTGGAAGCAAAGGTAATGGTATGCAGAGAACCTGAGTCTGCAGCACCTCTGCTGTTCTGAGACTGCCACATTCCAAAATGCAAAGAACAGAGGGATTTCAACCCCAGCTACAAAGCACTTTAGCAGCTTTGGGCTTTCTCTCTTTCCAACCGCCAACTACCCCACCCCCCCACCGCCCCCCTATTTTATTTGATTCTTCCTTAAACGCAGAAATGACAGCATTGAAAACAATGAGAAGACCCTGGAGAGAAACGGAATGCCTTATAGTGGACAGAGGAAAGAAGAATCCACCATTTTCGATGTGAGAAGACTCTTAAAGTCTTAATTTTGCTTCTGGGAAATTTACACACAGATTGTGTGTTGATTTCCCAGAAGAAAGAGCAATTAATACTTCATGGTGTAGAAAATTCTTCCCTTCCACTTGGTTTAAGACCTGTAGGCATTCAGACATAACTCTCATTGCTATTTTCCTGGGAGATGGCCAACTGCAAGATCTAGCAAGGTTCAAAAACCAAGTGTGATTCTTCTTTTCCCATTGCAACAATCAGAGCTGTTTGAAGACAAAAAAGAAAATCTAAAAGGAAATTTAATACCCTCAGTACTCCTGCCATTGGCTATATTATCAAGGCCAGACAAAACTGTAATTCGGCTGCAGGTAAATGATTTGTTCAAACCTGACTTACTAGAGGTTCTAAGTCACTGCAGCTTTACCAGTTATTTGCTTGACAGGATTCTGGTAGAAGCAAACCAAAAATAAACTTTCAGGAGTATACTTGCAAGTTTTACTGTTCAATTTCTTTCCATCTGACATGTTGCACCAGGAATGCTGATACCTCGAATACCCAGAGCAGTCTTTCTAGTTGCTGTATATAAAATAGCAAAAACCCATGGGAAGCAGGAAACAGCAGCTGTAATCACATTATGGACAGCTGCATTTTCAACTAGTTTTGCACTTGAGACCAAAGAAGGTAGAGACAAATCTGTGATGGCATTCTCTGTGACTCTAAATTTATGCTGTTCATTGGGATATTTCAGACGGAGATGTTCATGAAGGAATTCATCATACCACTAGTCCTGCTGGCCCTGAGAAGTGTCACCCTGGCATCAGTGCACATGCATTCTGACTCCCAACTACCTAAAAGGAGGTTGTAGGGAGGTGAGTGTCAGTCTCTTCTCCCAAGTAACAAGCGATGGGACAAGAGGAAATGGTCTCAAGGTGCACCAGGCAAAGTTTAGATTGGATATTAGGAAAAATTTCTTCACTGAAAGGGTTATTAAGCATTGGAACAGGCTGCCCAAGGAAGTGGTTGAGTCACCATCCCCAGACGTATTTAAAAGACTGTAGATGTGGCACTTAGGGACATGGTTAAGTGGTGGACTTGGCAGCGTTAGGTTAATGGTTGGACTCAATCTTAAAGGCCTTTTCCAACCTAAAGAATTCTGATTCTATGACTTTTAACACTAAGATGTAAAACTACTGATGTAACCCACTAGTGTAGATGAAAGATGACTCTTACCCATATCTGCTCTTACAGGCAAGGATGGGGTGGGAAGGAGTGCTTCAGGGACTTCCTGAATGAGCTCCACCAGTTTCTATTCATTTCCTACAAGGAAGTAATTCACAAAAAAGGCAGGGTCTAAAATGATAAATGCAAGGATTTGCCTCACTACGTATTAGGATGGAATTGGGATGCTGAGAAATCTTTTCCTTAGTATCTAGAATACAAAATTTCTATGGCATAGGAAATCCCAACATGTGAAAAGTTTATTTTAAACTGAGCAGCAAGATCTTGTTGTAACTGCTAGCACTTACGTAAAGTGGAATTCTTTTCTGCTTGGGGAAGAAGGGAGCAAGGAGATAGTGGACAGCTACCATATCTATTTCCATGTGCAAGAGACTGGGAAGAATTAAAGATGAAATTATTTTATTCCAAATGCCTGTACTAATTGACTGGGCTCAAAGCTTTACAACGTTGAGATGCTTTCATGTAATGCAGTCATCATTTGGTGACACCCACTATTCATGAAGAACTTAATCCATTTCCAATGTAGTCTATAAATTGCTGTGCATTTATGACTGGAAGCAAAAGAGTAAGAATAAAGGAATGAAGCTGATTCCCTCTTCACTGGTGCTGCAGGCTGTATTCAGGCAACCCCAAAGCTGTTTGGGCTCCCCAGTTAATGCTAAACACAGAGTCTTCCTTGAAATGTGAGGGATAGCATTATCGGGGTCTTTTGTTTAAGGAGAACAATGGATTTTGTATTGTACCATGAAAGGGCACATCTTTTGAGGGACAGGAAGAACCTGCTGTCTGCTTCGTAATCCAGCATTTTATGATGTCACTCCTTTAAACCCAGTATCATCTTATTGTTTGCTCAGAAACCAACCTATGTGGGAACCTGCAGTTGCTAACCTTGCCTCTGACTCTAGGGACACAGACCAGGCATTCAAAATGCTTTCACTGCTGTTGCTGATGTCCATCTTACACCCTGCACCATATCAGTGGCTGCAATTACTCAGCACTCCAGAATCTGTCACTTCCAGGAATTTTCTTTAGTCATTATCTTCTGAAGATTTGTGAGAAACCCCTTCAGAAGAGTTCCCTTAAAATTGCTCTGCGCATAACAAAGCATTCCTTCAATGTACTTGAAATTTAGCAAGGCTTTTGATACTGTCTCTCACAGTATCCTTCTAGACAAGATGCCCAGCACACAGAAAGAGAAGTCCGTAATATTTTGAGTGAGCAATTGGCTGACAAGTCAAATTCAAATAGTTACAGTAAATGAGGTCACAACAGGTTTGTGGCCAGTCACCAGTGGGGTTCCCCAGGTCTCAGTTTTAGGGCCAGTATTCTTATGTTTTTATAAATGAGATGAATGCAATAATCAAATGTACATTGAATAAATTTGACGATGAGACTATACTAGGAGGAGCTGTGGACTCCCTCGAGGGTAGAGAGGCCTTACAGAGAGGTGCGGATAGGCTAGAGAGATAAGCAGTCACCAACTCCATGAAATTTAACAAGACTAAGTGCAGGATTGTCCAGATGGGATACCATAATTCTGGTTATACATACAAATTGGGGGATGTGAGGCTGGAGAGCAGCTCTGTGGAAAGAGATCTGGGGGTCTGAGTTTATGGTAAATTGAACTGGAGACAACAAGAGTCCCCAGAGCCAAATGGGCCAATTGTGCCCTGAGGTGCATCAAGCACAGCATAGGTAGCCGGTGGACGGAGGCGATGGTTCCACTCTACACTGCACTGGTGCAGCCCCATCTGGAGTGCTGTGTGCGGTTTTGGGTGCCTCAGCGTAAGCAGGTGCCACAGATGGAGTCATTCACTCAGAAGAGAGAAGCAACACTATACCGTATTGATATAACAATGTTCAATGATAAATGCAACAGTGTTTTAACTTGGTTATTTACTGCATAGGGGAGAGGATCAGACAAAACTGTCAGGAGTCATGAGGTTCAAGAAAGGCTCCCTTGCATTTTAAACTCCTTCTCAGAGAGGAGTCTAGGTGCAGTTGGATCCAGACAGTCCCAGACTTGGTTAGCAGTTTATGTCTAAAGGACTATATATGTGCACAATAGCCCTTTATACCACTTCGTTAGGATTTCAAAGTTTAGCATGCTATTAATCACTTACCAAAAATCTGTTGTGTCAAGACATCTCTCCATCTCGAGGAGTAACCTTGAGAGGTGTCTCTACATGAGGGGAGATGCTGGCGTGCAACCCGCTGCCATGCAGAAAGCTCAATGAGCCCTGGGCTGTTCACTATTTATCAAGTAAGATGGATGACTTACAGTCACATTTGCATACCAGCCAGACATCTGTCTCACCGTTCCAGACAGCCCTTGGCTTTCATCTTGCCATAATGTCCCCTAAAGTCCATAGTAAGCCGGATGCAGCCAGCATAACCCCCACTGGTGGTTATGGCTTAAGCAGAAGGGGTGTGGGGGGGTACGCTGCCACAGTACATCGAACTACTCGAGTGTGTCCAGAAGAGGGCGCGACCAAGACGACAAAAGGCCTCAAGGGCAAGACTTACGAGGATCAGCCGAGGTCCCTTGGCTTGTTCATCTTAGAGAAGGCTGAGGGGCATCCTCAGGGCAGTCTGCACCTTCCTCACGGGGGGCAGCGGAGCGGGAGCTGCTGATCTCTGGTGACCAGCGACAGGACACGGGGAAACAGAACAAAGCTGCGTCAGGGGAAGTTCAGGTTGAACGTCAGGAAAAGGCTTTTCACCGAGGGTGGTCGGTCCCTGCACAGTCTCCCAGGGAAGCGGTCACGGCAGCAAAGCTGTCAGAGTTCAAGGAGCGTCTGCACGATGCTCTTAGTCATGTGGTTTAGCTTCAGGTGGTCCTACAAGGAGCAGGGAGTTGGACTCAGTGATCCTCGTGCGTCCCTTGCAGCTCAAGAAATTCTGCGATTCCATGAAGATTCAGACGCGGCCTTCCGAGCAGCGACGGGGGAAGCGCACGAGGCCGGCGGCGGACGCGCGGAGCCAAGGCGGAAACGCGG